CTCTATCCCTCTTCCTTCCTCTCTGTAAAAAAAACAATAAAATATATTTTTTTTAAAGAAAAACTGAGGAGAGTACCCACATAGCATCTAACTGTGAGAAGCAGTGGGGTGCTGTCTGCCAGGGAGGAACAGCTGAAAATTCAGGCGCCCTCTTAAAGGGCCAAGGGCCAACGCACAGAATTTCCTGTGGAGCCACCTTGTGCTCTGGCAGAGGGAGGGTGGACTGGAGCTGTGAGAGCAGAACTCTCATTTCTTTAGAGGCAGAAAAGACATTTAATAAAAGTTAACATTCACTGATGATTTTAAAATTTTTCTTTTAAACTTAGCAAACCAGAAATATAAATAGAAGAAAACTTCCCTAACTCAATAAACAATAACAAAGGCATAAAAAATGTCAAACACACATGCTGAAACTTTTAAGAGCATTCCTTTAAAATCAAGACACAGGTGTCTATTACTATCACTATATTCAACATTGTTTTAGAGGTCCTATTCTGTACATTCTCACAGAAAGACACACATATAGGTGTAAGAATTGGAAAGGAATAAATAAATCTTCTACGGATGATGCAATTATTTAAGGTGAAAAACCCCTTAAAATCTACAAATTGTTTTAAGTTATAAAAAGTAATCACATTATTTAATATCAGCTGGATATTAAATTGGATCCCTAGCACCCACCATAAACAAAAGACAACCCCACATGAATTAAGTACTTAAAATGAAGTAAATATGCATTGCTTCTCTGCAAAATGTTACTTATGATCCTAATGAGACTATTGGAGTGGGACAAGGAGTTAGGTAAGAAAACACTCACTTCTCAATGTTGGGGACCATTGGGGAACCATTAATCTCCACATCTTACAGAATGTATTAGTTTTCTCTCACCACCATAACAAATTAACACAAACTGAGCTGCTTAAAGAAATACCAGTTTAGCCCAGCCTTTGTGGTTTGGTAGTTGAGCATCAACCTATGAACCAAGAGGTCACTGGTTCCATTCCTAGCAGGGCACGTGCACAGACTGTGGGCTTGATCCCCAGTAGGGCTGTGCAAGAGGCAGCCAATCAATGCTTCTCTCTCATTGATGTTCCTATCTCTCTATCCCTCTCTCTCTAAAATCAATAAAAACGTATAAAAAGCAAACGAACAAAAAACCCACAAGTTTATTATTATATCTTGGTTCTCTAGGTCAGAAGTCTGCCATGAGTCTCACTGGGCTAAAATCCAAGTTCTTTTCTGGAGACTCTAGAGCAGAATCTACTTGTGTGCTCATTTAGGTTGTTGGCAGAATCCAGTTCCATGCATTTGTACAAATGAAAACCCTGTTTCCTTTCTGGCTGTCAAGGGCCATTCCCAGAAGAGGAGGATGTTGGTATTTTTTTGTTTCAAATTCTTCCTTCATCTTCAATGCTAGCAAGTAAGGTTATGTCCCTCTCCTGCTTTCTCTTCTGCCACATCTCTTAGTCTTCTGCCTTCCCTTTCCATTTTTATCTCCTCATAACATGGTCCCTAATATTAAGCACATCTGCAATTCACCTCTTAACCATGTAATGGAACATGTTCACAGGTTCTGGGATTAGGGTGTGGACATCTTTGGGAAACCATTAATCTGCCTGACACAGGGGTGTCGAACTCAATCAGAGAAGGGGCCAAAATCTAAAATCCAGCCTAAATCGAGGGCCGAATGGTTTACTGAACAGTCATAAACTGTCACTGTGATGGAAACGCAGCGGAGTGCAGTGATGACAGTGCGGTGCGGGCCACATTGCAAGGCCTGGCGGGACGGATTTGGCCCGCGGGCCTTGTGTTTGACACATGTGGCTAACATATTGGGAAACTGAGGTTGTTCCATGTTTGCACTAATACTGTATGTAGCTTGGACATCCTTATATATTGCTCCAGCCCCAGCCCCAGCAAGGGTGGAAAGGAGACTAGGTAGAAAATATCCCATATCTTTTCCCCATGTCTTTCTGCTTGCCTTTGCTTAATTATTGAGTTTTCCTTATCAGGATGGGTGAGGCTGAAGCAGACAGGAAGATGAAGAATTTAGAACTGGTTTCCTGACACCAACCCTAATCCAATAATTGGAACACGTGCTTCCCCCTGTTCTTGAATCACCAGAGTTTAGGGAGGATATATAAAGGGGAGAACAAAAAAGAGTAAGGTGGGAGCAAAGATGTCAAGCCATTAAAAACAAAACAAAACAAAACAAAACAAAACAAAACAAAAAAAACTAAAAACTAAAAAACCCCAGCATATTCACTCCTTCCTTAAGAACTCAAGAAGTTTCCATACCTGGGTGGTGGTAAACAAGAGGAAGAGTCTAACTCATGAGAGCCATTTATTGGATGTCACTATGTACTTCACAGTGGTAGATGATTCCACAAACCTTTCTTAACTCTTTAACCTATGTGGTACATGAGTATAGTTATTAGCCTGCAAATGAGGAACCGTGGGCTCAGAGAGGTGCTCATTTACCAAAGAGAACAAGTGTCAGAGACGGATCTAATCCTAGGTCAGCTGATTGCTCCAGCTCAAGGACATGTCCCCTCCTTGTCTTCTCAAGCAAGAAGGCAACATTAAGGTTTGTTATAATCTCCACACTGTACCCTTAAGAATCTTTAAATGACCCTCTTGGAGGTGTTATCCTCCTTTCTCCTGAGTGATTTCCTAATGAAAGTCTTATCAAGTTATTTACCTTCTTGTGATCATTATACATTTACATCTTCTGTGTGCTGTCCCCAAGTTGATGTTGTTTCAGGCTAGCCATTGGGTGCTTACTACTAAATTATGGGACTGAATTTTCTTTCTTTTTTTTCTCCCAGCAGTAAGCTTCAAAGAAACAAAGAAAGGTGCTGGGATGTGATCTCTGAAAGCGTCTTTGCTGGGTCTTACAGGAGCAAGGACACCCAGCTATTACCATGCAGCCTGTCCCACTGTAGTCTCTATCCCTTCAGTGAGTTATGGTTATCAGCAAAACGCCAGTAAATGACCTTCGCTTTGTGTTTGTGGTAATAATTGATCAATTCTAAAATTTCAGCATAAAATCCTAACTCTGTACCACAGATACAATGGTGCTTCTGCCTCTATCTTCTGCTGCATCTCAGGCCACTTGTACTCCTCTGGATGCTCCAGCCACACTGGCCAAGGCCTGCTTCTGAGCCCTTAAAATGTGACCAATGGAAATGAGATGTGCCAGGCCCTAGCCGGTTTGGCCCAGTGGATAGAGCATTGGCCTGTGGATTGAAGGGTCCGTCCCAGGTTTGATTCCATACATGCCTGAGTTGCAGGTTCAATCCCCAATAGGGGGCATGCTGGAGACAGCCAATCAATGATTCATCTCTCATCATTGATGGTTCCATCTCTCTCTCCCTCTCCCTTCTTCTCTAAAATCAATAAAAATATATTTAAAAAAAGAAAGAAATTAGATGTGCTGGGAATATAAACTACACACCAGTCTTCTACGACTTGGTAAAAATAAATGAATAAAAAATATATCACAAATTTTATATTAATTACATGTTGAAACAGTATTTAGCCTGTGTTGAGTAACTATTGAAGTTAATGTTTCTTTTTACTTTTGTATGTAAAATTTCGACCATTTAAAATTACATTTGTGGCCAAAACCAGTTTGGCTCAGTGGATAGAGCATCGGCCTGTGGACTGAAAGGTCCCAGGTTCGATTCCGGTCAAGGGCATGTCACATCCCCAGTAGGGAGTGTGCAAGAGGCAACTGATCAATGATTCTCAACAATGTTTCTATCACTCTCTCTTCCTCTCTGTAAAAAATCAATAAAATATATATATATTTTTAATTACATCTGTGGTTTGTAGGACAGCACTGCTCTATCACCTCGCCCTCCTTTGAGCGCACCACTGTCCAGGCTCCCACTATGGGGACGGGCAGCATCCACGTGTTACCTGTCCAGCGTCCTTCTCGCCCCACTAGCATGTAAGATACAAGCTGTGCCTGTCTCCTTCCACCGGATCCCCAGGCTTTTAGGACACAGTCATACTGAAGCTCAGTAAGGACTTAGTAAACAAGTACTTTTTATGAATGACCTTACTCTTCCTCAGCTGGACACGTGAGCTCTGTCTGTTCTCCCCAGAACACGAGGTCTCCAGTCCTCCGGGCCACACGCGCAGCTCCGCGCTGTCCCTGCGCGCACGGCACTGGGAGGAGAGGTGCGCCCACCCTCCACGCCTCCTTCCCCGCGGAAAGCACGGGGCAGGCACAGCAGAGGGGGCGCAGAAGGGCCCTTTCCGCCTTGGAGACCCGCCTCCCTGTCAATCACGGCGCACTTCTCCCTCCAGCCACAAGGCGGCGTCTCGCGAGCGCTCGTTGGCCGATGGTACAGCCCGATCCCCCCGCCCTGCGGACAGTGGATCCTCTCACAACCCGTTTTCCCCCCCCGCGCCCTGCGTACAGTGGATCCTCCCAGCGGTAGAAAAGCATTGTGGGAAGGCTGCGCGGCCTTTCTGGTCTCCGCGCTCCGGGTGGTGCCCGGGTGTGCGTGCGGCTCCTGCATGGCGGGGCGCGGCGTGTGCGGCCGCTTGGTCGCTGTCGGCCGGGGCGGCATCCGGGACCCTGAGCCCGCTGTCGTCGCGCCGCGGCGCCCCGGCCGATCCCGCGCCCCGAATACGTGGACGGCAGCGCCTGGGCCCGAGTCCGGCCACGTTGCACGCGGGACCCCAGGAGGGCCCGGAGCGGACTTGGGTCTGCGTCCCCACGCCGGGAAATGGGGAGATGGGTTTGAGTGCATTTGAGCTCATTGATCATCGACTGTGTGCCGGGAGTTTTTCATATCAGCGGGGGTTTTTTTTCTGTGAAAGGGAATGGTCTCACGGAAGCTCACCCCTGCCGCGCGTGAAATCCGCCAACGTGCAAGTGCGGGTTAAGGTTCAGGTCTGACCGCCGCGTCCCGGGGCAGACCCCGCGGAAGTCGGATGAGAATCGCCGACTTGGCAGGTGAGTTTCCATGTTAATGTTAAAAAAAAAAAAAAGCCCGTTGCGTTGAAGTTCTAAGAGTTTAAAACTCTTAGAACACTTTGTATTTCAGGGCGTTTTTTTTTCAATACCCTGTTGTATTTTGAGTTAAGAGGATCTAGAGCTGGATTATGAACAGTTCTTCCCGGCGGGTTCATTTAGGGGCAGCAACCATGTGCCGTGGACCCAGCCGTCTTTCTGTAGCAACTGTGATAATGTAGCCTTTGTGTTGCCCATTCACTTTTGGAAACTAGTGAATGTGGTGTCAAAAAAGGCGCAAACTACACACTTTGCAGCCCTTTTCCTGCCCTTGAACTTGATGTCTTTGGTGGAAGAGCTGTGTAAGTAACAGTTTATACTTTAATTTGTTTGCACGTTGTTTTGCCAGCATGAAGTGTAGAGTTTCTCATAACCAGTTTTTTTGTTTGTTTTTTACTAATTTTTGTTTAGGGGAAAGATGGACATTTGAAGCATAGACTGCTGCAACCTGAATACCCGGGAGCACAAGTGACCCAAGGTAAGATGATGTAGAAGTTCTGTAATCTATTAAGATGCTTTGCTTGTATATGGTAATTATTTGGATTAAGTTTTTCAAGATTTGCTTGTTAATATCCACCTATTAAAATAACTCACCAGTGGAGTATTTTGCAGGCAATATAAATACTTCTGATAAAAAGGTTAAAATATTTTTAAAAATAAAAGCAGTTCTTTGTAATGGGAATCTTAGCACCTTCCTATACTGGGGAGTTTTGTGGTTATTGGTATAAATTGGGTATTAATGGCTTATTAGTATTAGTACTGCACATCTGTAATTAACAAGGTGAAGTTAATGGTAAATGGGATAGCCTGTTTCCAGTTCATTTTTTAAAATCTTGGATGTTTTTGTGTAGTAGAATTTATGTATTTCTATTTCTTTGGAGAGAGAAAATCATTGACTGACTGCCTCCTGCACATGCCACACTGTGCATGTTCCCTGATCCGGGAATGGAACCATAACCCTCTTTCCCCCCCCTTCATGGGTTGAGGCTCAACCACTGAGCCATACCAGCTGGGCAATAGTAGTATCATTAAAAAAACAAGCTTGCCAAATGTCAGGTGTGTTTTTATGTTGACATTTAAATCTAACTCCAGAAACTTGGTACAGAACCAGGCATTGAGAGTTTGTTAAAGATCTGATACATGTAAATAACTTGATTGTAAAATTTGGTTTTGTTTTTCTTTTAGGATGCCCTTCGTGAAGAATTTGAAAACTTAATTTTCACAGGAGTTGCCCAGATCACTTAAAATTTTAAAGAGTGTTGAGGAAGATCAGAACTGTCTTTGGACAGTTCATAAATACTCATTTAACACAATGGGCCTGTGAATAAATATTTAAGAATGTTTCTTGGGCCGAAACCAGTTTGGCTCAGTGGATAGAGCATCAGCCTACAGACTGGAAGGTCCCAGGTTCGATTCTGGTCAAGAGCATGTACCTTGCTTGCGGGCACATCCCCGGTAAGGTAAGGGGTGTGCGGGAGGCAGCTGGTCGATGTTTCCCATCAACATTTCTAACTATCACTCTCCCTCTCTGTAAAATCAATAAAATATCTTTTAAAAATAAATATGTTTCTTGGAGGTTTGTGTACTATGACTGCTGGAAAGCAGCCTTCTCTAAGGGTTTTGGTGCTATATATATAGGAAAGGCTTATGTTGGGCCTGAGGAAACGTGCTTTCGTCCAGTGTCTCATGAACAAAACTAGACCAATTGGTTTGTTTTGGGTATGTGTATGCTTTTATGTTGTCACTGCATTAAATTTTTATTATATTGTAAATGTCAAATGGGCATAGCCTCTGCAGGAAAATATAAATGTGTTCATGAATTAAGAAAAATTATCAAAGGCACTGTACTAGGAGCTGGGAATATTATGAGCAAAATAGACCCTTTAGAAGATTCCTAAAGAAGAAAGGAAATGTCACCAGAAATGCAGAACTTCCTTTGTGAGGCAAATCCCATGTAAAGTAGAATTGGACCACGTTGGGAAACCTTAGGAGGGAGTTGGGACTAAGGGTAGGTGGCAATTTTGCAAGGCCTTGAGCTATTATAGAAAAAGTATGACCATAAGTATGTATTTGTGAGGGTTATTGCCCCTTTCCCTCTTTGGTTCCCTGATTTAGACAAGGAGTACATAATGAGGTATCTTAGATGTCCATTATGAGAGCTTGGACTATTATAAGTTGAGGTTGAATAGCTAAGCTGTCGGAACCGAATTTGCAAAGATACAAGTGGGCCAATTGGAGTCTACTTAAGGCTAGATGAGATGACCACCTTGGGTCAATGTGGCAAAAATAGTAAAGGGATAATTGGGCTACAGAGAGCAAAGGTGACAGGACTTGGTAATTGATTGCTAAGTGTGTAGATAAGCACAGTAATGAAGGCCCTAAATCTAACGGGAGCAGCATTTTAAACCATTTGGTCTTTAGGAAGAACACTAGCTTGTTTGAGCTCCAGAAGTAGTCATGGGCATAAAACTACCTGGGGTAAGGTGTAAGGGGTAAGGTAAAATGGCTTGCATTAGTGTTTTTATTTTCATATAAAGTACATTGCTTGGGGGGAGGGGCCGTTCTGAAATAGTCTTTGGGGAGAGTCAGTCAGGTAGAATGGAGGGACCATTTGAGGTTGAGGGTGGTCACGAATAGACGCACATCTTTTTTTCCCCCCTAAAACGAGACAAGGACATTAGAAATTAAAAGCAATGCTTTCAAACAAAACCTTGTATTTGTAAATAACCAGTGGAACTTAATGCCACAAAATACAGCATTACAAAGAACATTTATATGAGTAAAAATACCTACAGGGAAAGTGATGTGGCCTCAGGTATCTGCACAGGTGGAGGTCCACCTCGAGGGGAGAGCTCTTCATCCCACTTACTATTGCACAGCTGGCCAGCTTCGGTCCAGAGTCCAGAAACATCTGGTTTGGGTTGATATGGCATGAGTTTTTACAGGACTATCCTTCCAGTTACCACACACACACATAAAAGGCTCTTCAGCACAAATACACTGTAGTTAAGCCTTTTAAAAGGAGCAACAGACTCAAATTATTTTCTTCTGAAGAAACGTGGAGGTCCAAGATAATTTGAATAATTACAATTCACAGTTTCAAAGTAAAGGCAGTACACACACCCTTCCCACCCCTCTGAATCTCCCATCCCAAGCCTTTCACTGGGATCAAGTCTCTATCTTGAGGCGTGAAGCTTGGATCGTTTTTATTGTTTTTGCTATGTGTTTTCCAGCCAGGTTGCTTGTAGATGTCTGAGATTTTTCTTCAATCAGGCTATCTTTAGACCCATTTCTCCTCTGGAAGAAAAATAGTAAGACTCAAGAAAATACAGTCAAGTTAACTCATACATCAGAAATGTTTCCTTACATTTAAAACCTCTTCCACTCCCCAACAAGTGTTGATCCTAACAGTGCTTTCCCATAAACTTCCTCCAATTAAACCTCCATCTCAGAATCTGTTTCTAGGGAACCTAACCTAAATTAGCACAGGTCTCTTCTGTTCTTCAAGACATTGGCAAAAACGAATCTGAACAAACGAAGGGCAATGCATGATGAATCAGCTTAAGTCATGGTTCCTAGGCTGTACGCAAACCCAAGAAAATATATACAAAACGGTGTATGTGCTTGCGTGCATTTTTATGGGGGAGAGAGAGACGGTAGTTACATTGGCTTCTCAAAGAGATTCACAATCCAAAAGACTGCAAACAGTCGGCTGTCACTGATCCATCATAAACATCAACTTTGTTTTTAGAATGGTTGAACCAGATATAAATCCACACAATGATCTTATACAGCCTGCATTTTTTTCTACTTTATTAAAATATACACCATGGCCGAAACCGGTTTGGCTCAGTGGTAGAGCGTTGGTCTGCGGACTGAAAGGTCCCAGGTTCAATTCTGGTCAGGGGCGTGTACGTTTGTTGTGGGCACATCCCCGGTAGGGGGTGTGCAAGAGGCAGCTGGTCGATGTTTCTCTCTCATCGACGTTTCTGGCTCTCTCTCTCCCTCTCTGTAAAAAATCAATAAAATATATTTTAAAAAATAAAAATAAAAATATACACCATGAAAGGTGGTATCAAACACTGCTGAAATGCTTGCTACAGTGCTCCCTTGATATATCTAATTCAGCTGAGTGTTACTAGTAAATTGATTTTGTTAATGCAGCTAGATTCTGTACTATGTCCTTGAATTCCCCTTTAACCACATTTTTAAAACATTTCCAGAAAAGTAATTTTCTTTGATGGAGAAGGCAGAAATAAAACAGGACCTGAATAATTCTCATCTGCCATTAGTTAATAATAGAACATCTGCCCCCTGCGAGTCTGCTACAGGTTTCTCTGGCTCATGGAGGCACTGATTTTTCATTCTGGCTCCAAACAATCTTAACAATCCTTGTTATCCTTGGCTTTGCCCCAAGCCTCAGGTCATTTTAGACCTTGCACTATCTCTAGCTCTTGCTCCTGAATAACTCTTCCCAGGTTGGGCCTAGTCTTGATCATCCACTCCCTCCCCTGCCTCTTTTCATGTTTGTAACATGTTCTTTTAAAACACAGACTCTCAGAGTGAAGCTAAAGATTCATTTTCCCACCTTCCAAAAGAAATTTCAGGAAAGGTGCTTCTCAAAACTGCCACCAGTAAAATACCTTAAAACTATTGTCACCGACCTGATGAACTGTGGAGCCACCAGAGCCCTGTGCATCGGAAGAGCGGGTCACGGGAAGTGGAGGTACAAGATCCGTTTTTGAACTGCAGAGAGGGAGTTTTAGAATTAGAGTCTGACAATCACAATTCTAGTTGAAAAAGGGCTACACCGTAGAACACATGTTTTATATATCTTTGTATTCCATCAGAGTGCTTCACGTAGAGAGGTGTTGAATAAATGTCTAAATTAAGTTGGACAGGTTAAGTAATTTGCCCCAAATCAAAGCAAATAAATAGAAGAACCAATAATAAAACATAAGTCTCATTCCCATGCGCTGTTCTGACATGTTGTATAAACGGCTTTTTGATTTGTCTTTAAAGAAACATTTATTAACCATTTGTACTTTTTTAAATAAACATATGGTATTATTGACGGCCATTACCTACATTTTACAAACAAAACAAAAATGTAAGTAAAACCTGGCCTCTACCTCTATTGGGCTAGCCTATCTCCCAATTTATTAATGTTTATCAAAGTTTTGAGCCTTATATCAGAGTTTATCGGTTAACATTCCTACCCAGCAATACAAAATACATGAATTTCTATGATTATAGTACTTTTACAAATGGATATATAATGATTTTATTAGCATAATCATTCAAAATATAGCACCTATTGTGTTAAGCAAGATAATGGTCACTTTTTTCACAAGAAAAAAAAATAACACAAAGAAACTACTGTAATATGCTATTTGCTGTAGTAAAAGAAAAGACAAAATGCCATCAGATAAAAAAACACTTCTTATGCCAACTTCTCTCAAATATGGCTTCATCATTCACAACAGAGTAGCTTATGCATTTTTTTCTAAGTGGCATGAATCAGTACGGTCTAGATCTGCACTGTCCAATAGGGTAGGCACTAGCCAGCCACACGTAGCTATGTACATTAATGAAAATTAATGATTATTCAATGCTTAGCTTCTCGGCCACATGAGCCACATTTCAAATAGTGGACAGCCACAGATACAGAACATTTCTAGCATCAAAAGGAGCTCTGTTGGACTGTGCTGATGTACTCGGGCTTGCCTGCTTACTTCACTTCCGACAGGACGGACCGCTCTCCATCGGAACACTGAGACCGGCGGTACTGGCGGTAACTTCGCGGCGAATGAGAATGTCTGATGCGGATCGGGTCACCTTGAGTCCTGAACAAGAAATCCAAAAAAACATGGCAATACACACACAAGTCAGAACAGGATAATTCCTTAATAATGACTGGAGAGCTTAAAAAAAAAATCAACCCTTCTGGGTTGAAAAATCCTAAGTGGCTTAAATTTCACAAGTTAACAATAGAAAACTGCTCCCTCAACTATACATGAAAATGAAACTATAGTATTTGTGTGTATGTTTGTATGTGTATATGTGTATATTATTTTTAACCACTAAATTCTAATGAAATTATTCCCTACAGTTGAATTCTCTCCAGTAGGTAGTGTGGAAGAAGAAAAAAAAAAAAATCTGCAATGCAGACAAAATGACATTCCTACCAGAAAAAGTTGGTCATTGTCTAGCTTCTTAATTAGTCTGTTGTTAAAATTCAAACTTTGGCCCAAAGACAATGGGGTGGAGGGATGGAGGTGGAAGGGTGTGTACCAACCTGCAATTTGACTGGAGTGGGGAGGATACATGCGTTACAAAAGGGAAATAAAGCAGTGAAGTAGGCGACTTTCTCAAACCATTATAGCAGGGCAGAGAACTGAGTACATAGGTCATCTGCTGCCGCATCCTACACGGGTGTGGATGAGGGAGCCCCTGTGCTTTCACGAGGCACATTCAACCTGCTCGTTCTGTGACAGGGATTGGACTGGGCTTAAATGACAGGGCTTTGAGGTCCACATCGTTCTCTTGGTGTTAAATAACGAATAAAAAGAAACTCTGATACCAATCAACGAATACCTCAATAAGTGAATTTATATTTCAAAACTAACACCAGTCATCAAAAGTCACTTTGTACCTACCGCATACAAATAGTCAGTTAATAGGGGTTAATAGCCGAAACCGATTTGGCTCAGTGGATAGAGTGTCAGCCTGCGGACTGAAAGGTCCCGGTTTCGATTCCAGCCCGGGGCATGTACCTTGGTTGCGGGCACATCCCCAGTAGGGGGTGTGCAAGAGGCAGCTGCTGATCGATGATTCTCTCTCATCGATGTTTCTAACTCTCTATCCCTCTCTCTTCCTCTCTGTAAAAAAATCAATAAAAATATATTAATAAAAAAAATAGGGGATAATAGTGATTGTACAGAAGGGAAATGATTAGCTTGATTATTTATTACACCCTTTCTTCCTCTTTCCCTGTGGTTCTTAATTTTAGTTACAATGTAAAGACAAATTTAAGCACTGCACGGAGAGTAAGAATGTCACTTCGAAGTACTAATGAAACTTGTGTGAGAAGACTTCCAGAGACATACTCACTCGACTTTGGTGTACGGGATCTCTTTTAATTGTTCTTCTGACAATCCAGACGGGTCCACAAGTTCCTTCCTAGAGGGCAGAGAGCAAGGAAATTCAAGTTGTGAGGACGGTGTAAATACCAACACCTTTCACAACGGTCCCAAAAAACAGTGTTAGCAAACCGAATGGGAACATAAGGCAGGACCAATGATATAAAAACTACAGCGTGCTCAAGGAAAAATGGGAGGCAAACCTTTTCTATAGCTCTTCTACTACCTTCCGATTTATCTATAGTAGGGGTGTTGAACTCAATCAGAGAAGGGGCCAAAATCTAAAATCCAGCCTAAATCGCGGGCCGAATGGTTTACTGAACAGTCATAAACTGTCATTGTGATGGAAACGCAGTGGAGTGCAGTGATGACAGCGAGGTGCGGGCCACATTGCAAGGCCTGGCGGGACAGATTTGGCCCGCGGGCCTTGTGTTTGACACATGTGATCTATAGCCAATGTAGCTGGCTGGCTCTCCAGCCACTCTTCATTTCCCTGCAAAATTCTGCCTCTCTTCCCGGTAGCAGGAGTCTTTATTTTTTCTTCCGAACCTGTTTTCCTTGGTATTTATTTGGTCTGTCTGAGCCCCAGTTACAGGCCAGCCTAAGGGGCCTCAGGAGAAGAGATGTCAGGCTGCCCTGGCAGGAAGGCACCACCTCTGTGAATTTCATGTTCCACCTAATGACTAACGAAGACTGTCTGACAGGCTTCAGCCCGAGGCTGTCTCTTAGTGTCGGCAGCTGCCTTAAAACTACTTGGGTTTTAATACAAGGAGCGGGGGAGAGAAACAGTACTCACTGAATATGCTTCCATAACTCTTCTTTTGCTTGGACATCAGGGCTTCTCCTATAAATGAGAAAACACTGCTCATCTCTGCAAACGTGCTTCCTCTAACAGCCCCACAGCTAACTTGAGCAGAGCTACAACATCCACAGCTTTCAGACTGGGAAGCTTTATGTGCCAGTTGAGACTAAAAGGGAAGACTGAGCAGGGAGAGCTAATGAAAGACGCCAGAGTCATGTATCTGCCAGCACCACTGAAGAAAAATCACACTGAAACCAGCCATAACCAGGGCTTCGTTTGATGACAGAGCTCGGCACTGCAAGGGCGAACGCACACACCCTCTGGTGGTGATGTTACAATGAAGAAGAATTTGAGGCTTCTATTTCTGTTCCTGTTCCCTCTAGCTGTTTCTTTCCTTTTTCTTTCTTTCTTTTTTAATACTCACTGAGGATTGATTCCAGAGAAACAGGGAGAGAGGCAAACAGGAAGGGAGGGAAACATCAACATGAGAGAAAAACATCCATTGGTCGCCTCCTACATGTGCCCCGACTGGGAAGTGAATCAGCCACCCAGGTTCATGCCCCGACAGGGAATCCAACCCAAGACCCTTCGGTACACAGAATGACATGCCAACCAACTGAACCTCAGGGCCCCTCTAACTATTTCTAAGTGAATGCAAGAGAATGCCTGACTGTCAATATGAAAGAATCCCAAGATGATTTGTGATAACCCAGTAAAAACAGCAACCACAAGAGGAAAGGAAACGGCAGACTGTGCCACTGATGCATCTCTCATGATCTACGAGATGATGTGTTTGTGGACCACACCGAGGGTCCATAAATGCTGTCGCCCTCTGCGGGCCTTTCCCCATTCCTATGGACAGACCCACAAATCTTCTGCAAGAATGACTTGAGCAGAAAGTAGTTACACCACTACCTTTAATTTCCCAGAATGCAAAATTCCAAGTCAGCATTTAGTGTTCACACTCCTAGGACAGCAAGGAATACTACAAATATTTTATCCCTGCAACTGCTTCCATGGAATGTCTCCTTTCATCAGTCCTTTCAAGAGAACGGAGATCTAATAATGGGCCCAAAGAAAGGACCCAAACCCTAACAATTAAAAGGCTTGGAGTTCAGCAAAGCCACTGCTACACGCTGCCCTGTGGAATTTTACATTCATAATCTGTATCAGCATTCTGGAGCTCAATATCACTTTCAACATATAATATTATCATAGCTTTCATTTTTCTCCGTTAATAAGGGCACCACAAGGCATTCTGGTAAGGTTTTCTGAGCCCCCAGAATACAATAAGCTATTTTCTAGCAATTGAATTGACTAAGCCGTTTTTACCTTTGTAGAAAAAATAATAATAATTATCTGATTGTAAAGACCTTTCCGTCAACTCAAAAGGAGTTAAAACAAGTATGATTAGGGGGGAGGGGATGGTCTCAGACATTACAACATGATATTAATAGATTTTGTTATAAGAATAAGATTATATACTTAAAAATACCTAAAGAAATGCTTCATTGGCAGGAATTCCTGTATGGAATCCACCTTTCCTACGTGTGGCTGGCCCGATTCACTAGACAATATTTTAACCCACAAAGGATGCTGCAGGGAGGGGCAAATGTTAAAAAGCACTAACAGTGGGTATTTCTGAGTGTTGGAATTGCAGGAATTTTATTTTCTTATTTATATTCATTTTCTCTGATTTTGTTTTTTAGTCAGGAGAATTTCTTACCTTAATTGTCAGAAAAGAAAAAAGGATTTTTTTCATGTTTTAAAAAACAAAACAAAACACCAAACTACTATTGCTGCAATTTCCACGGGAAATGCTTTTCATTCCCATCTCCGAAGAATGAGCAGAAATGTTACTAGTATCTTAACCTGAATGAGAATTCAGTCTTTCTAGCCATAAACAATTGGTCATAAACGATTCAGGAGTTTAGTCTATATGTTTAAGTTCTATAGCACAATTAATAGTTGTATGTTTAACTAAACTTAGTACTGAAATGCCTAGCAATTTCAAGGCAGGGAAAAGTTCCAAAGCTAAGAAAAGAAAATCTTCTAATTTCCTCTAATTTCTAGACCACCTGTGATTTCACAAATGTAAACATATGCTAATGAGGAATGCATTATTTTTATGCTTGCATCTGCACACATTAATCAACAATCTAGGATGAATTCATGATCAGCAGCTCAACAGCTTTTTGTGCATTTAGAAAGTTGGGAAATTTTAAGTCATTTTTCTTAATTGAAAGGCCCTTGATTATACAGATGTTTTGCTTGAACTCTGAAAATACAGTAAGTTCCTGAGGAAATAGAACCCTGAGGATACAGCATATATAAATGTACATGCGATCTCACATTAAATTTTCTTCTAAAGTTTCATTCATCCACACATCAGAGCAATAGCCTAATTTAAGTTAATATTCATTTTTTCAGAGAAATTAATTGAATGAGACATCATTCAGAAATATTTTCCTTCTTCTAAAACCTAAAATAATAATACTTCATAATTTACAAAAGACTTAAACCATTGCCTATATAGCCTTCTTCTACATTCCCCAGATACTGAATTATATTATCTTGAGAATATTATAATATATAATAATCTATATTTTGTGTACTATAGTGCACTAAAAATAATAAATATGGCAGCATTTGACTTCTTATTTTTGTGCTCTTACTACTGATCACTGCTCAAAAAGGAAGCTTAGAGAAGCAAATATGTTACTAAGAAAACTAAAAGTTCACAAAACATTGTTATTTAAAGAATTTAAAGCACTTAATAAATATCTCAGTAAATCCTCATCATATCCCTGAATGGCCAGCATAATTATGAGCAGATGTTTTAATCTTCCCCTCCTTTCCTCACCCTGCTCAGAATGAAAGAATGATTGGGAAAGCCACAAAACCAAGCACCCAGCTACGGAAAAGTGCTCTGGAGCCACTCCCAGGGCCTTCACGCTAAATCTTCATCTAAGGGACCCGGCTTCTGTTTTGTGTTTAACTGGGACCATCACTTCACCCTGACAACCTCATCTTCCACATTATCCATTTTTCAATGGAAAACAGTAAGGCATTATTGCCACCAGAGGGAGCTAGAGGCTTCTCGCACGCACCAGTTGAACCTAGAAGAACTGTTTTAGCTGGAATGCCTCTTCCAAATATCCCAATAAGAGAGGTTCACCCATGTTGAAAAGTGGTTTCACCCAGGTTTTCTAATAACAAGTAAACATGAATGTCACATCAATGCAGCTAAAAAATGTATTAGATGGAACTATGCTTCTCAATGTTTTACTAGATAAGATCCAACCATATTCAAGGGTAAATAGTTTTAGGAGAGAAAGGTTTTGTATTTTATACAGCTGTATGTCTCTGGTATTTAATAATGAATACAATCTTCAATCTTCTTGCTTTTCATTGGGGATTAAAAGAAACAGAATGAATAAGTCATATGTGAGTGATGTATCATAACATTCTAAACTCTCAATAAATTCCTCCATATTATAGGCAATTTATAGACACTACAGTAGGAATATAAGGAGAAAATAGTCCTCTCCTTACCCATGGGGGATATATCTCATGATCCCCAATGGATACCTAAAACTGTGGATAGTATGGAACCCTATAAATAATGTTTTTCCTGCACATACATATGTATGTTAGTTTAATTTATAAATCAAGCACAGTAAGACATTAGCAATCTACACTAATAAAACAGATAATTGGTAAATGACAATTTTAAATGTACAATTCAATACCATTAAAACTATTAGATATTTAGAATTAAATTTAACAAAATAAGTGCAATAACTGTATTGAAAACTATGAAACATTGCTAAGAGAAGTTAAAGGCAAATAAGTGGATGGGTAAAACATTAATTTTCTCAAAGCTGATCTATAGATTCAACATAATCCTAATCTACACTCTATTGTCTTTTTCTGGGTGAAAACAAATATCGGTTGATTAAAAATTTACACAGAATTGCAAAGGATCTAACATAGCTAAAAGAACCTTGAAAACAGGGACAAAGCTGGAGAATTTACACTACTTGATTCTAGTCTTATTGTAAAGCTATTGTGGTGGCTTAGGGATAGACAAATAGATCAATGAAACAAAATTGGCCCATATATAAACAGCCAAATTGATTTTCAACTAATGCCCTAAGGCATTTCAGTAAATGATACTGAAATAACCTGATAAACACCTTGGGAAAACTTCTAAATATCTACCTCTACCTCATACATACAGAAAATTTAATTCTAGATGAATCATATATCTAGATATAAGAACAAAATATATAAAGCTGCTAGGAAAAGATATGAAAATCGTGTGGTATGGGCAAATATTCCTTAAGATGCCAAAAGTCTTAAACTAGAAATTTTAAAAATGACATAGTGATCTTCATCAAAATTTAAAATGTATGCTCATCATTAAAAAAGGGATAAAATAAGGTGATGGTATTCAGAAGTACATATTATTAGTTGCAAAATAGGCCTGGGATATAAGGTAAAGCATAGGAATACACTTAACAATATTGTAATGACTATAGTACCAGGTGGGCACTTGAATTATCTGAGCAAACTTTGTAACTTATATGAATATCTATCTGCTGTGCTGGACACCTGAAACTAATGCAAAATTGTGTTGAATGGGAAAATAAGTAAATAAATAAGTAATCTGGAAAAAAAATGAGTACAGTAAAACAACAACAAAAAGGTTAAGAACATGAAAAATCAAACCACAGCCAGGAGAGAGTATTCAGAATAATACATATATCCACAATATATAAAGAACCCTAAAAATAAATTATTAAAAAAAATTGAACACCATAATTAAAAATGGGCAAAAATGTATGGCCCTAGCCAGTTTTGCTTAGTGGTTAGAGAGTCAGCCCGTGGACTGAGGGGGTCCAGGTTCTATTCCGGTCAAGGGCACACGTCCGGGATGCAGGCTCAATCCCCAGTAAAGGGCGTGCAGGAGGCAGCCAGTCAATTATTCTCTTTCATTGATGTTTTTATCTCTCTCTCCTTTTTCCTTCCTCTCTGAAATCAATAAAAATATATTTAAAAAATTATGAATAACCAACAAGCACAGGAAAATGTGGTTGACATCATTAGGCATCAGAAAAATGCTAATTAAAACCACAATGTGCCAAAACCAGTTTGGCTCAGTGGATAGAGCATCGGCCTGCGGATTGAAAGGTCCCGGGTTTGATTCCGGTCAAGGGCATGTACCTTGGTTGCAGGCATATCCTCAGTAGGGGATGTGCAAGAGGCAGCTAGCTGATTGATGATTCTCTCTCATCGATGTTTCTAACTCTCTATCTTTCTCTCTTTCTCTCTCTAGAAAATCAATAAAATATATTTTAAAAAAAACAAACAACAACAACAAGCTACAATTAACAAGACAGAGCAAAACCAGCTATTGGCAAATAGCTCAGAACTGGAACGCTCATACATTGCTAATGGGGATATAAAATGATACAAACTTTCTGGAAATCATTTTGGTAGTCTCTTATAAAATTAAATATGCAAATATACTCTAACCCAGAAATTCCACTCCCAGATATTTACCCAAGCAGATATTTACCCAAGGTAAAATAAAACACACCCCCACAGATACACTTGTAAGGAATGTCTATAGCAACTTTTAACACATTGTCCATAACAGTTTTTAACACAATAGCAAAAACTGGCAACGATCCAAATGTCTATCAAGAGGAGAATGGCTAAACAAATCATGGTACATTCATATAATGGACTAGTACTTAAAAATTTTAAATAAGCACTGATAGACACAACATGCAAAAACACTGAGTGAAAAAAGGCAGATTTTAAAAGAGCATATGTTGTATAATTACATTTATATGAAGTTCAATAAGAGAGAAACAATTAGTTTATGGTGATAGAAACCAGAACCGTCGCCTATGGAGCATGGGGACTGACTGGAAGGAACACAAGGGAACTTTTTAATTCTATATTTTTATTGTTAAGATGGATACACTATGTAAGTATTTGTCAAAATTCATTGAATTGTACACTTGAGATGAGAGCATTTCATTGTATGTAAATTTTACCTCAAATTACCCTGTTAAAAAAAAATGTGCATTCCTTACTCTGTAAAATAAATCTCAGGTCACTCCATTTAAATTATTAAATTACCAGGCCCATGTACAAATATTTGCCCAATAATACTACTAGATTAAAATAACTATAAGATTCAACAACAATGAATTGTTCTACTTATCAATTGTATTTATAAATAGATTGTTTATTTATTTAATATTGCCTTTAGTAATGGATTTTGACTTCCTAAAAATCTATCTATAGAATTTTTCCTAATTTTATTTTCCTTTTCCCTTTTTTTTTATTATGCAAGATATACTATTTATATTTAATTGGATTGAGTCCTTTAGAAATGATTAGAAAACTAAATGTTGTTTTAAGATTTAATATAAAGTCACCAAGCTCTGTGTATTATAAGTCCCTCATAGAAAATCCTGCATGGACAGGTTAAAAGCATGGTTAAAAAAGATTTACCCAGAACTATGCTGAGTCTTGCTCTTGGGTTTCTGTGCTTTTTTGTTAAACTATATTCAGTGATATATATACACACACACACACACACACACACACACACACACACACACACTTTATTGATATTTTTTACAGAGAGTAAGGGAGAGGGATAGAGAGTTAGAAACATCGATGAGCCCTGACTGGTTTGTCTCAGGGGATCGAGAGTCGGCAAGCGGATTGAAGTTCAATTCTGATCAAGAGCATATAACTAGGTTGTGGGCACATCCCCAGAAGGGGGTGTGCAGGAGGCAGCTGATTGATGTTTCTCTCTCATTGATGTTTCTAGCTCTCTATTCCCCTCTCCCTTCCTCTTTGTAAAAAAAATTAATAAAATATATTTTTAAAAAAAGAAAACATCAATCAGCTGTCTCCTGCATATCTCCTACTGGGGATGTCCCCGCAACCAAGGTACATGCACTTGACTGGAATCAAACCTGGGACCCTCTACTAGTAGTCCGCAGAACTGTTTAGTTCGCAGGCCGACGCTCTAGCCACTGAGCCAAACCGGTTAGGGCTTCAGTGAGGTCTTGATTCATCCACATCTCTTTTTTAATGGAATTGCAAAGAGATAGTATCCGGGACAAAGGAAGCTTTTTATTAGTTTCTGCTTTAAATTGAACATTTTAATTAGGTTTCTGAACAAAAACTTTATGGCATAATGAAAAAATCTATAAGAGTGTACAGCAGGTCCTTTTCTTATAATGTTGATGAGGTGCTGTAGGAACTTAACTCTTTACTTCTATTAGCCTGTGATAAAGCTGATTTTTGGTGAAAGTCACATTGATGATATTAAGTGAAGACCTACTATAACACTGCTTAGCATTCTTGCAAATTTCCTATTACAAAAGAAACACACATCACTCCTTCTGAGGTACGACAGATAAATATATATTTTGGGTAAAAAGCAAGCATCTAAGACTGAGGAGCATCCCTTGGAGTCACCCTGCAGAGTCCTCCCCAGCCTTTGTTGACCTGAGCTGGAATCCTTCTGCCTGGCTCCCTCAGAGCTCCCACCTACCTACACAGTCTGTCTCCAAATCCACTCCCCAGCAGCCCTCCACCACCCTGCGATTCTATTTCCTCCTTCCTCTAGTGAGCAACACCACACACCAAGTCCTAGGGTCACAAAGGAATTTCAAAAGGTGTGCTTTGGGAAGTGGAGGGGTGCTGGAGAGTCTACATCTGGCCAATAAGCACCTTAATAACAAATATATAAACTTCACCTGCTCAAGAAAAAATTAATTTGGGGGTCTGGCAATCTCATCGTAATGGGGTAATTGTGCTCACACATGGCATTGCCTAGCAACAGAAGGAGCAGGCAAATTCCAGCATTGGGGTGTAATGAATCACTCCCTGACTACTGCTCACAAATGGTAATTTGATGGGAAGATATTCATATCTCGTTCAACCTGGAACAAGACTTGAGAGAATTCTGCAGACTCCAACTGAGAGAAGCAGCAGGTATTTCACCAGCAGACAGGCTCCAGAACAAAGGAGACAGTTCCTGTTTATTCAGTTGAATATATGCTTTTGTTTAGAAACAAAAACACAACTTTGACGGCCTTGTGTTTGTTTTTTTGTTTTGTTTTGTTTTGTTTTGTTTTAATGATACTTTGGGTTGGCTTTGCTCCAACTTCCACAGCTTCAGATGTAGTTAATGAATGTCACAAATACGAGGAGGTCAATGTGAAAAATAAACAATGGGATAATCAAGGTTGAACCAAATCACTTTAGAAGGCTTGAAAGAGACAGCCCACTCTGCCCTAGAAGCCACATGCTGCTTCAAGCTCAGCGCTTTTTAATCAAGGCATAGAAAGAGTGCACATACGAGCGAGATCTGTGTCTGGATCGCCTGTTGTTGGGGTCCGCCTGGTTTTTTTCCTTTTGTCTCCTTAATACAGCTTCCCACTGAGGCGCTGAGTCAACCATATCGTTCTCCTGCCGTATTCTGAAAAGAAAAGACCATTCATCTAAAGTTAATGTCCACACATGTGGTGCTTTGTGTTTTGGTTCATCCTAAACTGACTCGTAAGTGATATTTAGAAATGAGCAAGTTACTTAAAAGTGATTAAGAAAAATGAACTTATTTAAGTAGAAGCAATTTCATTATCATTAACTCAAAGTTAAGAATGTATTGAATGGATTAACACATGAGTATATATGTATTTATGTATAAATATTATAATATGTAATTGGTATATACTTGTATATATGTATATACTTATGAATATATTATAATGTTTACACATAAATATGTAAGCATGTATTAGTTGTTTTCAGACTTCTACCTTTGGCTTAAAATTTTCTTAGAGAACGATATGTCAGGCAAAAAGATATTTAAGATTTTTAAAAAATTTACTTTGCAACTAATTCAATATTATATTAGTTTCGGGTGTACAGCAGAGTGGTTAGACATTTATATAACTTATGAAGTGAATCTGCCATAAATCTAGTACCCATCTGACATATAACATATTCAAGTTCTGACTAAAGAGTGGTGTGTGCTATAGTGGTGTGTACAATCTTAAAACATGAAAGAAAATCATTTTTTAAAACATGCTATCCAAAGCAATAATAAATAATTTTATGTTAAAATGCTCTTTTAAAAAAATCATACTAATTGTCAAGGTTTTCATGGTCAATGGTTTCCAGATATAATTCCCATTGTTTAAGACAGAAAACTACAAGTGCAACGAAGTTAAATGTGGTGGCAGCATGCCTTCACTGCTGGGCGGGCACAGAGCATTCAGGCTATGGCTGCTCACAGGCCCAAGAGGGGCGAGCACTCAAATGACCAGGGGCCAAACAGGATGTGTAAATGAGGGACCAGAAAATCCAGAGCAAATCCGAAGCAGGAGGGAACTGGGGAGCACAGACCCCCGCCATGTGAGATCACAGGACAATGATATCAGATTTTTTATTTTTAAAGAAAGGTAATCCACAAATCTGAATGTTTAAAGTGAATTCTTCCCAGTTTTAGGTAATGGCAAGCAATTCTGTATGTTCAGGTACCACATGGACCTAACCAAACCCATCCATGGATCACACTGAAGAAGTTCTGGATGTTCACTAAATCACCTTTTTAGCAACAAGGTGAGGTGCTGTAGGAGAGAAGTTAAGTGAGTGCATAATTAAAGCAAGTGCTTAATTAATGTGCAAATACTGCCTGGGATGCACTGCAACGCTGCGAAGCCATGAGTATTCCTTGCAAAAATTAAACACCTGTTATTTGAATATTTAACTTTTAATTTATGTAAATCCTCAGAAAACTGTTCCGGTGTGTTCATTTCACGCACTGAGACTCCCAGGGTGTGGGAGAGAAGCACCAAATTGCAAGGAAAATCATCCCAGTACTGGGACTGGATGAGCATAAACGCTTCAGAACCAAAATGAAGTGAACAGGTAAGTTTGGAGTCATTTCTCTCGCTAAACAGATGTCTTCTGGTTGCCCTGTGACAGCACTAAACATAGGCTGTGGTGTGGATACATGGATTTGCTTATAAATGCATATCAGTAGATGGATAGTAAATATTCTTTTCACATATAACTTAGAGGCAATGTAAGGCAAATTCAAGTAAAAACAAAACAAACAACACAGTTCCTTCTGAGGAAGAAACTGTTTAAGTGTCTCTAGATTAAGGAGGAACTGTGTTAAGTGAAAAATTATCCATAACACACTTCAAACCCTTGGACTGTATATATTTCCTTGCTAAAGCTTTCCATTCTAACAGGCTATTTGAAAATTAACAGGATACAGTCATGGTATGTTTCACAGATTCCCTCTCTCATGGCCTGAACAGAGGAAATTAAAATCCAACATATACTGCGATGGATCTCAACGTTACAAGTATTTGAAGAAAAATAAGAGTAAGTAAACTGCTTGAGGACATAATTATTAACCATTGTTTGAAACACTCCAATTTGAAAATGCTACATGCTTGTATATATGTGTGTGTGTATGTGTATATACGCATACATACATGTATTTTTCACAGCCAGAACCTACATATCAAACCATTTATGGATTCTGCGACAGTCTGATGGGGGAGCAGAGCTGGACTGAGGGATTCAAAGTTAGATGGAGACAGCCAATGGGGAAACAGCGGCTGGCAAAGAGGTATCTCCTTTCCCCCAGGCACCCACACCTCACAGTGCCCAGGGAAAGACATCAAACCCAGATCTCATAAGCATAACCAATGGACTAAAAACTCTGGGAGGGAGGGCATGTATGGGAGTAGGGGTGGGGTGGGGATTGGTAAGGTATGTACACAGATAATACCTTAATTAAAAAATAAATAAATAAAAAATAAAAATAAAAACCCCTTGTCTCCTAACTCCTAATCCTCTAGAGCACATGTGTCAAACACAAGGCCCGAGGGCCAAATCCGTCCTGCCAGGCCTTGCAATGTGGCCCGCACCACGCTGTCATCACTGCACTCCGCTGCGTTTCCATCACAATGACAGTTTATGACTGTTCAGTAAACCATTCGGCCCGTGATTTAGGCTGGATTTTAGATTTTGGCCCCTTCTCTGATTGAGTTCGACACCCCTACTCTAGAGCTTTCATTCTGAACAATATGGCTGCATAGTCATGGGCAGGACTAAATTTCACAATGTCAGTGTTTGTTTTATTAGGAAATCAGCATCTTTATTTCTGAGAGGTTAAGCCTTATGAGCAAGGCTGAGGCCAGACTTTGACAAACAGATTTTTCTCAGAGGCTAGACATTTAAAAGGAAGCACAATGAGTGTATGTTCTTTTCTTCCTTTCTCCCTTCCTTCCTTCCTTCCTTCCTTCCTTCCTTCCTTCTTTCCTTCCTTCCTTCCTTCCTTCCTTCCTTTCTTTCTTTCTTTCTTTCTTTCTTCCTTTTCTTTCCTTTCCTTTCCTTTCCTTCTTTTCTTTCTTTTCTCTCTCCTTCCTTCCTTCCTTTTCTTTCTTTTTTTCTTTCTTCCTTCCTCTCTTTCTTTTTCACTTATTTTTTTATTTTATTGTGCATTCTTTATTGTAGAATTTAACTGTCTACCTTCATACTAAGCCTTTACCTTGATGAAGAAAATGAAAGCTCCTGAAACATGAGCCCACAGAGTCCCTGAACCTTGCTACTAATAACTACAGCGGAAGAAATGTCATACTATGGCATGTACCTTTTACTCTTCTAAAAGTCTAACGCAAGGGCAGTAAAACCCTGGCAATAAATATTCTTGTGACCCACATGTTTAAAAGACAGATGCCCTCTACTGGCGACACTGCTTCATAAATATTCGAACACGCTGCATTAAAAATGTAAGGCTCATTGAAGAGTCACAACAGAAGCACATTTTCCTGAGTAATGGTGGTGTGGCTGCCTTAGTCTGTAATGAAGTTTGAAATTACACCCTTACAAAAGGCTTCCAGTTAATGGTGCCTCATTACAAGAATGAAAGTGTCATTTCGCCCATCAATGAGCTGTTCCAGAAAATGCAGGTGCTGCATGGAAAGGAAAATCTTAGGACTAAAAGCAAGAATACTATACCATCCAGTCCTTAAGAGGCAGAAGTTAACTATCTTGTTTATGCATGAGTTAATAACTAAATATTTAAATGTAAAGGCAGTTCCTATAATGCACTTGTAAGTCTCATCCATCCTTAGGTGTGGGTTACACAAGTGTTGGTTTTGCTCCGTGTGTGTGTGTGTGTGTGTGAGAGAGAGAGAGAGAGAGAGAGAGAGAGAGAGAGAGAGAGAGAGAGAGAGAGAGAGAGGAAGAAGAGAAAAATATTGATGTGAGAGCAAAAAATGGATGGGCTATTTCCAGCACACCTCCTACCAGGGATTGAGCCCACATCTGGGCATGGACCCTGACCAGCAATCGAACTAGCAACCTTTTAGTGCCTGGGACGACCCCCAACCAACTGAGCCACACTAGTCAGGGCTTTCCTGCTATATTTTAATTATGATGTAGGGATTTACATTAAGAAAAAAATGTAAATGTTGCTTTTTCCTTCCTGTATCCTCAGATGCAATAACTCTAAATTTATCATATTATACCTAGTTTCTTATCTAAAACTACACAGAGTTAATAGTTGGGGTAGGGAGCCTTATGACGAGGCTTTTGTTTTTTTAATGTATACAGAAAAAATTTGCTTCAAAATAGAACAAATTTCAATGACATTTCAGGACAGAAGAATTCTAATATTTTCCCCCCCACGTCTCACCAAATTTCAACACCCTACTCTTCCAGAAATGCATGCAGTTTAGATTATAAGTGTATGTGACACTTAATTAAAGTCTGCAAAAGGTTTGAAGATGAAATACCATATAATCGTTTGATAGCAAAAATGAAGATAATGACTATTCCTAGTGTCTTCTTTCCTGTCTGCCCAATTATAGCTCTGCCTCTTCTGCAGAATTCTTCACATTAAATGAATTCTTATACAAACTCTCATGGGCTTTACTTTGCTCTCCACCTTCACCCGGGTGGTTTTGTTCCTAATAGGACCATCCTTTACACCAGTTCTAATTCACTACTCATTCACTGAAATAAAGACCACATTTAATGCTGAAGCTGAGAAATCTCACAAAGCGAATGTATAATGAAGCTCCAAGAATATTTGAGCAATACACAGCGCTCTGCCTGGACCCCGCTCTGCCATTATCTGGGCAAATTGCTTAACTTCTTTGGTCAGGTCTCAGTTTTTCATCTACCTAATTATTGCAAAGATCCTGGGTAGCTTTAAACTCTATTTTTCTCTATTTGTGTTTTATTTCAAACCAATCAGACACATTGAGACAAATCTCTACTCTTCATCTATGGCAGCTTTCCAGACAATTGCTTCATATGACCACCCCATGGCTGATATTAAGTCTGCGGGTCCCAGCTGATGGTAGCCTTGTGTTTCTCATCAACTGCACTCATTTTCGAATCACCTGCTATAAACCAACCTTCTTTTTCTTTTATTTTCAGTTTTTCTTCCCTAGAGAAATTTATGTTGGTTCCAGGCATCTGCCGACCTACTCCCTTAAGACCAGCAAGCAAAAAATTCATTTGCTTTGCCCAACTTTCCCCCATCATCAATAAATTATTCTTATTTGCCCTTAAAGATGCTTCTGTCTCTTCCGCTTATTCCTTATGCTCTCCCTGCAAAATGGGATGCCTTTTGGTGCAATTTCTCTTTCAAGCTCTCCTCCTGCTTTCCTAATTTTTCAACCTGCTTTGCCCTGGCTCAGTAATCAAACGCCGTTCTTCAGCGGCTGCAGCTTTGCACCTCCAGTCATCGCTTGTCAACTTTGATTATGCTCTGGAAGCCCTAATTCATCCATATCAACTGTCTACATTTTAAAATGACTTATTAGAGAGGAAATCAGAAACCCTTGCGATCTGTAGCATGGCAAACACTGCTCCCATTGGCTCTGTATGAACGGCTCTCTCCGTGCCCACTCTTTCTACCCGGTCTGCAGCCTCTACCTAAATCAGAAACAGGGCAGCAGGGAAGGCTAGCAAGGACACAGTTACCTCTTTTCAGGCTATCTGGAAGAGAGGCCCCACTGGTTTAAGCTTGCTATCATCCAAAACACATTTTTGTTTTGTTTTGTTTTGTTTTTCCCTTCAGGCATAGAAACAATAAAGTTCTTTTTTTAACCTTCAACAAAATCCTACCAGCATTATGCCCTACGCAGATGCAATGTCCCTGTTAGTTGCAGTGCCACAGAAGAGAATTTCTTCTTCTTCTTCTTCCTTTTTTTTTTTTTTTTTTTTTTTTTTTAAGGAAAATAATACAAAAGACCTGGTGGAACATATTTAAAAGATTTAAAACCATCTTAATCCATTATTCAGATACAGATTCTAAAAGAGATCTACAGGGCAGGAAAAACTAACAACATTTGTGGCAGGAAAAACTCATGTTAGAAACACGAATCTTTTGTTAAAGGGAGCTGGGCCCTGGCTTACAGATACAAGAGGGACTTCAGACAGCAGGGAGGAGTGCTGACTGCTCTCACTCATCTACAGTGCCTGCCTGTGCAGGGCACTTCCTACTCCTCAGAGCACACCTATTATCTCCGGGATGTTTACAAACCTCTTGTGATATATCATTCCACTTTGCATATGGGAAAACAGATTGAGAGGGTAAGGTAACCAGCTCCTAGCCACGGAGTTCTTCAAAGCCGGGTCAAATTTATAGCACAGGCTCCCTGATTCTTTGTTCTGTGCTCTACTGCACCCGTGTGTACACACATGTGCCCACCCACAGCCTCACATACAAAACTAATGACTTTGTCATGCAAATATCCCAGGATAAAAATTAGGGAAAGGGCCAAATGGTCTCCTGTTACCAATTTACTCTAGTCCTGCTCTTACTTCAGACTTCTCATTTCTTTTATTCTTCTATTTTAAAATCCCCACCCGAGGATATGTTTTTAATTGATTTTTTTTTTTAAGAGAGAGAAAAGGAGAAAGAAACATCCATGTGAGAGAGAAACATCAGTGGGTTGCCTACCGTAAGCACCCCAACCAGGGTTTGAACTCACAACCTAGGTATGTGCCCTGACTGGGAATGGAACCCACCACCTTTTTGGTGTACAGGATGGTGCTCTAACCACCTGAACCACCCGGCCAGGCCATCTTTTACTGTCAGAATCTTCACCAAGCTCCGGAGTTACTTCCACTTGTATGCTTATGCAAAAAACACCAAGCCGCTGCCCCTCCACCCCCTCCAAATCTCCCACTTCAAAATCCTAAAAACCTAGCCACACATCAAAGCTAATGAGTGGGTAATCCACAGATTCTCCCTGGTGGATGCTCCAAGGATGCTGATTTTCATCAATAGCACAGAGCATGTTTTGCAGATTGGTTTCTTTGAATGTGAAGGATATCTTTTTAAACTCAAGGTGTTTTCAGGGAAGGCTGGTTTGTGAAAGGTTTCCCTCTAGTAAATGTACTTCCTGGGTTCTCCTTCAATATACAGCCTGGTCAAGTCCAGAGCACAGCCCAGGCACTCCAACCTCTAGAGACCAGATGGCTGATCCTTCCGATCTTTGGTACAAGACTCAAAATTCTAACGAGCGCACATGAATACGACGGGGCTGAATTTTGAGACCTTGCTGCAGGAAGCAGAGCATCCGCATGTTCGAGGCAGTTTGCCCCACGCTAGGGTTACCGGAGTCCTTCGGTAAAAGCACAGAGGACTCTGTGGAGAGCCTGGCTGGGTCACACTGCTTCTGGGCTAAAGAAGGGCAGACAAAGTAGAAGAGATATATCCTCTCCCCAAAACAGAGTCTTCTGCACAAATAGGAAGTCAGGAGAGGACCCTCCATCACAGATAGAAGGCCCATTAGGACCGTAGTTTAAATATTCAGACCTACGCATCCTGATGTGGAAGGAGTGGGTCCTGGCAAAATGTAAAAGGCTAATAACGGGACAGAGGGTGAGAGGGTGCATGGCATAATGCGTATGTGGACCCCGGAGGCAGCCATGCTTGCAGCTTCTCCTGCACACCCGCCGTCCCCGGCTGCACGGGAATCTGCAGGAGTGGGGATTGCAACTGAGAGACATGTTTCTTCCCCTGCCCACTTTTTTCCTGTGCCCCCTGAGATCCAGACACCAGACCTCATCTTTGACCGACACAGGCAACTTATGAAACCCCGGGGCAACGTTTCGGCAGGTAAAATGAGTCTGAAAGCTTCCATGTCAGTGTGTTTTGAAAGCGATTTCTCATTAACAGCCTTACAAAGCACATTGGCATTTAAACACTCAGGACCACCTCCATTCTAAAATACACTATGTACACAATACAAAGAATTCCAACCTAGAAAGCTGTGCATGGGGCGGGGTGGAGTGAGGTGGGAGAGAAAGTCTTAAGGGAGCAAACACCTATAAGGAATACTGGAGACGTTTCAAGTAGATCAGTAAGGAGCTATTTAAGGATTTGCTGGCAACCCTTCAATAGTGTTTCATTTTGAACAGCAAATGTCACCATGAGTGCTTTTGGCCCCAAAAGACACTGTTTTTAAACAGGCCACCTTCTGAGAAGTTGAGATTATAGCATCTACGAGCACAATTTAAAATATACCAAGCAAAAGAGAAATAAATTTAAGGCTTGATCAGTAAGTACAACTGTGTGTGTGTGTGGGGGGGGGGGGTGTTTTGCTTTGTTTTGTGTTGTTGGTGAAGGCTGTGAATTTTAGAGCAGGAAGAGGGGACCTCAGGGAGAGCTGCCCTCCACACTTGGGCTTTTACAGAAGAAACTGGATCGTTTCCTTGAGAAGAGTGTTATAGCACACTGAGATCTCACCTCTGTGTAGTGTGATTCCAGCCCCTAAGAACGCACCACAGAGAAAGCTCTAAGAAAATGGTCTGCGCTCACAATGCTGTCTGGGCTATTGTTGCACGGCTTTGTAGTCAGAGAGGAAGGCTGATTCAGTGTGTGCCAAGCACGAGTACTAAAGAAGACCTTGGAGATTATCTCGTCCAACTTCCTCATTTTACAGAAGATAAAAAGACGACCCAGAAAAGCAAAAACAACCAGGCCAGAGTTTTACACCAGGTGAGAATGGGTCTCTAACAGCAGCACTACTGACATATTTGGGGGGCCAGATACTTCTTTGTTGTAGGGGACAGTCTGCACATTATAGGGTATTTAGCAGTATCCTGGTCTATAGCAATCCCCTCACCCAATTATGACAATCAAAAGTATCAAAACACGGCCAAATATCCTCAGAGAGCGGAGGGGAGGGCAAAATTATCCCCAGTTGAGAACCACTGGGTTAGCAACTGGTACAGCAGCAACCAAATCCCTCTCACTCCCAAGCTGGCACTATGAGAACACTTGTTTTCAAATAATTATTTTGCTACCAGGGAGAACTGATTAATTCATTAAGCCATCACTAATGCTGATTACATGTCAAATGATGTTATTAAGAAGCTCTTAAAAAATGAGTTCTAAAGGTATGAATAAACTGCATTTCCCCATCTAATTGTATGTGCCTGATATAAATAGAAACACATATTTGTATGGACATCTGCATGAGGCTGAAACTATGGAATCTGTACAACAATGAATCCCTCATTTTTAGTTGGGCAAAATATAGTAACATCATGTTAAAAGATACCCAGGGACACCCAGCCAGTATGGCTCAGTGGTTGAGCATCAACCCATGAACCAAAAGGTTACCAGCTCGATTCCAGGTCAGGTCATATGCCCAGGTTTCAGGCTCATTTCCCAGGGTAGGGCAATCAATTATTCTGTCTCATTGATGTTTCTATCTCCCTCTCCCTCTCCTTTGCTCTCTAAAATCAATTAAAAAAATATATATATACATATATGTGTATATGTATATATATATTTTTTCTTTTTTTAAATACTTCAGGAAGAAACCCCTCTACTCACAGTAAAATTTCTTACTACCCTTAGACAAATTCACTACATGTTGTACCTAAATATAGATCACCTTTGTTTTTACTTATCAAGAAGGTATCTCATTGTCAAATTGTTGTTGTTTTTTTAATATATTTTATTGATTTTTCACAGAGAGGAAGAGAGAGGAATAGAGAGCTAGAAACATCAATGAGAGAGAATCATCGATCAGCTGCCTCCTGCACAACCCCCCCGGATTGGGGATGTGCCTGCAATCAAGGTACACGCCGCCCTTGACCGGAATCGAACCCAGGACCCCTCAGTCCGCAGGCCGACGCCCTATCCACTGAGCCAAATGGTTTCGGCCAAGTTGTTTAATTATCTTATTATACTAGTAAAGGTAAGAAACTCAGTTCGAAGCGCTGAGGTTTCCTAAAAGACAGCTTCAAAATAGTGCCAGATCGCTTCTTAAACATGGGGGAGACAATCAGCTTAAAAATGCATAGGACACCCAGCTTTTACCACCAACTTCAGCCTCTGCTTTGGCAGTCCGAGATAGCTACAATATTCCAGCATTACCTGTTTCTCTTTTTCCGGTGTTCTCTGTTAGAATTCTCTGATTCACTACCACTGCTTGTGTTACAGCGCGAGCGGGACCTGAAGACAAAATAAGAGCAAATGACATTTAAGACAAATGGAAAATTTTAGAAAGGTCCACATTGGTTCTTTGGAATTAATTCTGTAATAAAATTACTAACCCAAACATAAGTAGCACCCTCCCCCTGTTGGTGTCTCTATCCAGTCAGACATCTGAATGAGTCTAAAGAAGTGTGATTAGATTAAGGCCGATAACACTCTGCTCCCAGAAAGGACCAAAAAACCAAGCACTTGCAACAGAAATCTGACATAAAGCTAAAGCCCCTGTGCTAAACCAAACCTCCACCCTTCATTGAGAGAGGCAAAGTTTATTTCCTCTCCCCATGAACTAGTGCTAGTCCTGGGGCTGATTTTACCAACAGAATGAGGTGGAAGGGAAACTCAGGCAGTTCCAGGATTAGCCCTTAACAGGCTGATAGCTCCTGATTCCTCCCAGCCACCAGAGACCCTGGAGAGAGGCCCCAGGCCTCCAGCCCTTCTGCCAGGCACCAGACAGAAATAACCCAACTTCAGCCACCATCCAACTGCAGCTTTGTCTGAGACTAGCAAAGCTAACTAGAAAAACTTCCTGTTCACTCAACAGAATTATAAAAGAGGTATAGGTGATTGTTATTGCTTTAAATACACCAAGTTTTAGAATAGCTTTCATGTAGCAGCAGATAACTGAGACAGCTCCTCTGAGATACAGAGCTCTTCTGAGGAGCAGAAACAAGAGGAATTGCTAAGGGTGCTACAGAATGGAAGACCGAGAACCAGCCAACACCCACTTAAAGTTAAAGAACACATTGACGGCACTCTTAAAGCAGCCACTAATAAAACAAACAAGGAAGCCCCCCTCTGGCCTCAGTTCTGAGCTCTGCTAATCTGCTGATCTTTCCTCCTTCTCCCAGATCCTCCTTTCCATTTCATTTTTGTTGTTGTTGTTTGTTTGTTTACCTCCTCCTTTGCTTTAGATCTGAGTCTTCACCACTGTTATGGGCTTTCCTACGGAAAACAAATAAATGAAGACATTAAGGAAAATAGAAAATTATCAGTTGATTAAGGAAAGCACATCAAAATGAGTTTCACTTCGCTTAATGTATATGCTGCATATTCATTCATTATCAAACATTTGAATCACACACATATGTCCATCCCTACAATAGGTCCCAGAAACAGACTCCCATTGGCTTCAAGAAACCAGCAATCTAGTGGAGGCTGTAAATAGTCTGCAAATAAAAATGCACAACATGTCTGTTAAATTCCATTCATCCAGTCAGTCTGAAGTGTCAAGGTCTGCAATCCACCGAGCCAAATCCTGCCATCATCCGACATCCGCTCTCTCCTGGATGCCCTTCCCAACACCCTGGCTTCCAAGTCCCCTTGACCTTTTCTCTAATAATCTCTTCACAATAACTCAGCACCCACATCCTGGTCACACTTGGACTTTATCCTCTGTAAGTACCTCTAATCACTGCTCTCAGACCACAATCCCCTCTGCACCACCCGCCCCCCTTACCACTTCTATTTACTTTCAAACAGCTTCGGTGGGGTATCCTGCTTAAAATGTGAGGACTCTGGAGCCAGACAATCTGAATATGAATCCCATCTCCTTCACTGATGAGTTTTGATTTAAATTATTTCTCTATTTAATGCCTCCCTTTTAACAGAACCTCCCACAAAGGGTTGTTATTAAGATAAAATGAATTAATACATTTAAAGTGTATAGTAGGATCTAGCCCAATGTGTACACTCAATGATTGTTGTTATTACTACTCATTCAGCTACACTTCCATTCTTCCTTTCTTTGACCTCAATAGAATTATTTGCCTATTGACTGTGTGACTATCCATCAGCTCTTCATTCCTTCATTCTCTCTCTGACTCAGCTTAGATTTCTATCATCTCAATAATATGCATGCCAATACTGAAAACTTCCTGTCAGTCTTTTTGGCAAGACCCCAATCAACTATCTAGGTTCTCTGGACTACACCAAAACAGCTGGCTGACCAGTGCTGGAGAGAATTACACAAAAGAGCACATTAGTTACACTATAAGTCCATGTTCATAAACCTCAAGTGGATCCACAACATGGCCCAGCAATGGTACTACCATTCTGTGATCTAAGTGCTCTGTTTCTGCAAAGCATTCAAGAGCTATATCTGCCCTGATCACAGTATAAAAAATCCTACATTGAAAATAATCTTCCTTCAGCATTTTGAAGGTGATGCTTCTTTCTCTTTTTTCTGATATTGCTGTTAAGCAGCCCAAGACCAGAATTCCTTTTTGTCACCATTTATTCATGGACTTTTCTTTTCTCTGTCATATTCCTCCCTTACTCCCAAATGTTAAAAAAATTCTCTCTAAATCTATTATGTTTTTAAGTTTTATGATAAAGGATCTTGGTATGGATCTAATTTTTCAATCTATTATATCAAATGCTCAGCAGGTCCTCCATAAAGTAAGATAATTCAGTTCTAAAATACTTTCTTGTACAACTTCTTTAATACTTCCCTATTCTGAATTTCTTAAGGTTTTGCCCTAGAAATTTCATTAGTCAAATGTTTGATATCCAGGTAGGATAATTTTTTATCTTTATTTATATATCTGTGCTTTGTTTTCGCTCTACCCTGGTACTCTGGGGAATATTTCCTTCACTTTATCTTCTAAACCTTCTATTGATTATTTTAGAAATTCTGTCACATTAAAGTCTAAGAACTCTTATTCACTCTTTCCTTTTGATATCAGTTTCATTTCCCAAAGGATAACAATTATACTTTCATAAAAAACTTTCTGTTTCTTATATTATATTAACTCTATTTCCTATGGGTGCTCCTGCACTCCCCTCCCCTCCACCACACACACACACACACACACACACACACATCTTAACTGTTTCTGTCTCTTTCCAAACAGAAATTATCCTCAAATGCTAGGTGATAATGACTCTCTCAAGCATTGTGTACTAAAGCTCTGGGTGGAGAGCATGCTAACGGATGGCTTCACTGTCATGTGGAACAAAGTAATGTGGGTAATCTCAGCCATTTCCTTGCAAAATCCTTGGGAAGTTTCTATCTGCAGATCTTTTCTATCCTTTCTCATGCCTGGAAGACACAAGCCTGGCTTCTAACATTCTGGGAATGAAGAGAGAAGGGAGCCATTTAGTAAGCAGACTTTCACTCTCTTGATTTTTTCCATGGCCACAAATTCTCTGTGTCTTTTACCAACTTAATACTCCTCTTCAACTACGCCAAATAAATGTTGGAGTTTCTCACAGGTCTGTCATTGGCTTGGTCTCTGCATTCCATCTATACTATAATATCTATCTAGAGAGCCTCCTCTGTATTTCGTATTTCAATTATCATTTTTAAGAAATGTATATTTTAGTCAAGACAACTAACCCACATCCAACAGTCCATGTAAATCCTGCACTTGGACTTCTCAAAGGAACCACAAATTCCACATACCCAAACCCCCAAAATTGTCCCTTTCAGCATGCAGTGTCCTCGTGGTTCTTATTCCAATGCATCATGCTTTAATCCATGAAACTGCACAAGCCTGGTCTTCATTCTTGACATCTTTCACTCCTTCACTCTCATGCTGATCCTGCCAGCACTACTGATTCTACCTCTGGATGGGTTTCAAAATCACCAACTTTCTTGTCCACATCACCAGGCTGGCTCATGCTCCATTCTCTTTGGCCAGAACTCATATGATGGCCTGCTGCCTGGCCTCTCTGTTTCCACAGCTATTCCCTTCCACATCTTTCCCACAGAGCAGTAAGGACCAACTTTACACAACACAGATATGATCTTGTTATCATCCTTTCTGAAAACTACTTGTCTAATGACCAAAATCCTCAACAAAGCTCAGGTGTCTGATGAGGTGTGGCTCCACCTTTCTCTCCAGGCTCATTTCTAGCACTTTTCTGTTCACCCTCAATGCTTGAGCAACACTGGCCTTTATCCTTTTCATGAATGCCCCCCTCTCCATTCTATCCCAAGGCCTCAGCATCTACTAGGCCCTCTTCCTCTTTGTTTGCTCTTATCTGATCCCAGCTCCAGCATCCAGCCTCAGGAACCCTTCCAACCTCTTAAACTCAACAACACAGCGAAACTTCCCCTAATAGTGCGGTTACACATGTGTTTGGATGACAAATGTTTATCAAGCAGTTATTCCTAGAACAGATGTACTTTTCTATATGCATTTTTCAATAAAAAAGTTTTTAAATTTCCCTAAGCATAACTCCCCCCTGAAGAACATATAACAGTCATAACTGCACACATATTTGTAATTTGTATGTTTCTTCCAACAAATGATAAACTCCCAAAGGTCAGAGACTTTCTCTAATGCTGTTTAATACAGTTCCTGACATAAAGTAGGTACTCTAAACATTTTTAATATAAAGATGAATGGCGGTAAAAATAAATTGTACTGCCAGAAACCACGCTGGTTTTCTTTTTCTAAAATAGGAATGTTTAAACACACAGGCATTAGGGTCTCCATGAACCTTGACATATAAAGAAGTTTGTATGTGTATTCAATAATACAGCCTTTCCCCCTAGGGAATGAATCCAACATTGCATCAGATTCTCAGAGTTCTAGCACCCAAAAAGGCTGAGACCAATGTTCTAGACTCTGCCAGAATTTGACAGCTGTACTCATCTAATGACAAATGACTGGCAAAATGTGAAATTGTGACATCTTCTGCAAAACATGTTACCCTGGTGTCCATTACAAAAGAGAATTTCCTATTATTAAATTTAAGTCCTTGAGATTCTTCCATGCTGATGACAAATCTCAGTTTTAAATGTCAGAGTTAATCCATGTCTGTAGGGATTTGTGCCCAGGGGCAAGGTAAATATATGTGAAGATAAAACGAGACTAACAAGGACAGGGACATTTAAAGGGCATTTATAGTGAAAAAACAACAACGAAGAATGAGCTTTGGCTCAGTCATGCTGACACGAAGCAATGGCTGGTCTTCTCCAAAAATAACATGCTGAATACGAGATCTTTTAGGTGACACAGAACCAGACAGAAGGCTTTATGGTGCTCAGACTGAATCCCAATGGTCTTTCCCACGGATGGAGCCTATGAAAGGGTCTTATAACCACACACCACAATTGCTTCTCTGGAAGCCAACAGAAAATGTATCTCAGCACAGAGTCATTAGTCTGGATTTGAGAATGTATATGCTCCAAACTATTTCAAGCATTTAGCTTGAAAAAAAATGTAAAGTTTGGTGCATTTTAGCAAAACTTGATAAGTTCATTTTTTAACATATTAAAATCAAAATGGCCATTTGCTCAGCATGTGCAATTCTTTTAATGTAGGAAATGACCAAGTACACTAATAATTAGGAATGAAAAACTGTAAAAACTTACCTAACAATAATCAGATGATGCCAAATTCTTAATATATTTAGTGAAACCCACTATCCCCATCCCTCAGCCACATATATACATAAATGTATTTTAAAAGTATTTCCCAGGGGTGGTGCCATGTTTTTTAGTTGTCTGAATTGAACCAATCCTTGGTGGGGAAGTAGGGGAGAAAAATCTTTCCTCCTGCCTTACTGAAATGATGGTCCATTATCCTGGCCTTTTCCAGATGTACAGCCCTGGATCCAAATCCCAGATGTGTTACAAAGGACAGTTCCTGCCATCTCCCAGAGCCACTTTTCTTCTCTGTAGAAGTGAGATGATAATGCTGGGCCAGGGCCTGTCCACTGGTACTCAGCCCTATCCCAGCCCATCTATAATCTTCCCTGTAGTGCCAACACTAGACAGCTGACAACTGCATTTTCTTGGACTGTTTTGCCTGCAGGGTTCCACTTAGAGACACTCAGGTGAGATTTGAAGGCAGGGGGGAAGGGGAGGCAATTGTGCTTCTGGCAGCATTGTAGCACCCACACATGCACTCCTGAGAAGTGGGGTTCCACAGCATCAGCTACAGTGGTGGCACCTCCAAGTGGCAGCCAGCAATGCCAGCAGCCAGCACAGGCTCCTGGGAGCCTGCTCAAAGGCAGAAGCAGCTCTGCATCTCTGGGGAACACTCCTTTGTCTCCTTTCATTCCTCCAGCCCAGGGACAGAACAGCATCCAGACCTCAGAGCTGTGCCATGTCTCTGCCTTTTCGTTCCTTTAATCCTACTCATATTTGTGCACCAAAATTCCCTGCGTTAATCCCTCTCTGCTGAAAATGTCTCGTGACAGAATGATACAAATACCCATTTCTGAATGGTTATTATAAAGATAAAGTGAGCTAATATACAGCAAGCAAACTGCTCAGGACTTAGAACATGAAGAATGCCAACTAGTATTCCATTATTCTATTTAAACTGTTGGTCATGATATCTCTCCCCCTTTTCAGCCCTACTAGGTGAGGGTGACAGAGACCTTTCTCAGCTTAACCATCAAAGGATTTCAGTGAAGTTGGACCTGGTTGGAGAAAGCTGGGGAATACAGTCTGGGAAACTGGCAGAAGTTGAAGGAATGAGACAGGGATGGACCCACAGGTTAAGTATAAACGGTTGAAAAGACAGAAGGGCCTCTGCTTTCCAGACCCACCATGTATATAAAAGAAATGCTGATGGTTATCTGAGACCGTGACCTGAATGTCTCATAATTATAAAAGTCACTCATAAAATACCACTTACATAGGTACCCAAGGCAAAACACAGTCCCATCACGTAGGAATGAAGTGGATTTCGCCAGGGAGTCATTTCTTAGGTCTTCCTCTCCTGGACCTGCCCCACTGCCCACCCTGCTTTGCAAAAAGAGTCCTAAACATCTAGATACAGACGTTTATAAAAAATATCAAAACAACAATACGGTACCATCTCACACCTGTCAGAATGGCCAACATCAACAAATCAATAAATGACAAGTGTTGGCGAGGTTGCGGAGAAAAGGAACCCTTGTGCACTGCTGGTAGGAATGCAGACTGGTGCCACCACTGTGGAGAACAGTAAGGAGCTTCCTCAAAAAACTGAAAATGGAACTCCCATTTGACCCAGTAATTCCACTCCTAGGAATATATCTCAAGAAACTAGAAACACCAATCAGAAAGGATATATGCACTCCTATGTTCATAGCAGCACAATTTACAATTGCTAGGATTTGGAAACAGCCTAGGTGTCCATCAGCAGAGGAGTGGATCAAAAAACTATGGTACATCTACACAATGGTATATTATGCTGCCATTAAAAAAAAGAAGGAATTCTCATTTGCAGTAACCTGGATGGAATTGGAGAACATCATGCTGAGTGAAATAAGCCAGTCAATGAAAAAGAAACACCACATGACCTCACTCATTTATGGATAATAAAGAACATTATAAACTGATGAACCAAAAGATAGATATAGAGACAGTAAAGCAACAAGCAGACCATCAAATTACAGCGGGGAGGGTAGGAAGATCTGAGGAAGATAAGGGATCAACCGAAGAACTTGTATACATGCATATAAGTACAACCAATGGATGGAACCGGTTTGGCTCAATGGATAGAGCGTCGGCTTGGGGACTGAAGAGACCTGGGTTCGATTCCGGTCAAAGGCATGTACCTTAGTTGCCGGCATATCCCCAGTAGGGGGTGTGCAAGAGGCAGCTGATCGATGACTCTCTCTCATCGATGTTTCTAACTCTCTATCTCTCTCCCTTCCTCTCTGTACAAAATCAATAAAATATATTAAAAAAAAAAAAAGTACAACCAATGGACACAAAACTCTGGGGAGGGAGGGCATGTACAGGAGGGGGGTGATATAGGTACAGAGATAATAATTTAATAAAAAAATTTTAAAAAATAAAATTAAATTAAATTAAAATTAAATAGCACACACATTACATGTAACTACCCAGTCTAACCTGCTGGGCAACACAATGCATTTTCTCTGCACTTTGAAAGGAGTTTTAATCACATATATATAACAATATCAGCCTGAGAGCAGAGGACACAGCTTCATTTGCGATTAATCTATAACGTAATGTTGTCTTCTCAGGTTGAAATATTTAATGTCTATGTACTAAAGTATGTCATTGACATAACATGTTACATAATTTATTACACATACTATACAAATATGTATTATTAAAGTATATTATACATGTATTTTTCAACTTATCAGTCTTAAGTACAATTCAGAAAGCAAGTTCCTGTTAATATTTTTTAAATTATGCTCTGAAATTCTGGCTGTTAAAGAGAAATGCTCCAGGACCCCTGGCCTATTTTAGTTACCTCAGAAAATTCAGGCTTTCTGCGATCCCGAGGAGACAAACAGTCTTGATATCATGAGAATAACCTGTGATATAAACGTGACTGGGACCAAAAGTTAAACCAGGGGCTGTGCTCAGCCTACCTTCTCCTCGTTGGCTGGACAGAATCGTCGCTCCCACAGGAGGGGTTCCGGCGGCGTGCACAGGGAAACTTGGGGGACTTGGTGCGGTCATGGGGAGAGTTGTAGAGTCCGCTAGGGGGAGAGAGGAGTGGTTGGTAATCCCTGGAGGCCCTGGGGAGCAAGCACCCTAACCCCAGACCCCAGTGGTCCTAGGGAGTGGTCATGACTGCACAGTTGGTACTTGCAAGGGAATACTAGACCATGAGCAAATGATCTTTTTGCTGACAAGATATACTGGCAGAAAAGAGGAGTAAAATCTGGTAAAACAAATCATAGAGGTCATTATTTTGCAGGAATGGATTTTTTCCTGATGGCCTTCAACAGTGAGAAATGAACAGACACAAAGGACAGCAATACTTACAACAATGGATTGCATTTATGATGAGCCTACCACCTGCCAGGCGCTGATCGAGCTCAAAACATTGTACTCATTATCTTAGGGAATAGTCATATTAACCCTAAGCACTGAAGTACAATTATTAGGCCCATTTATAAAAATAATAATAATAATAATAATAAATAAGAGAAATACAGAATATTTCCTCCATGTAGCTGGAAAGTACAGAACTAGGATTTGAACCCCTCAATGGTCACTCCCAAACCCACCGTCACGATGAGTCCAGGAAGTTACAACGCAAGTACGTCACTGCTTTGATAGTTATGAGCCAAAGAAACTAAATATATATCTTTAGGAGTGAAGGTCTTCTAGACTCACTATTCATCAGCTACTGTTTTCAGCTCAAGTTTTTACAAGAACTGTGAAATTGGAGGAAGTATCATTAATACATTTCCTTTAGAGTTTTCCGAAATACATCATCTCACTCTAAACCGTCACGAAGACCTTCCAAGGAGTTTCTGAATAGACACTGGTTTCCTCTCTGTCTTTCCAGGAGCGAGTTCCAGGATGGGACACATCCTGTTGATCTCTACTTCAGCAGCTCACGCTGACGTGGGAATCTGACTGCCTGGTCCAGAGCTAGTCCTGACCTGCCACAAAGCAGGTGGGTTCTAGTCTTTGACAGAGGCAACTGCTGACCCCTTCCCTATTGTCCTCCCTGAGAAAAACAAAGAACCCCTTACCTCTGGGGGCCATTTTCTTCCCACGGCGCAAGAGGTTTGCTTCTTTGGATATCAGGACTATTTTCATTCTTTGCTTTCTGAAAGCTTTAATTTAAAAATAGAAAGAAGTGTGAAAAACAAAGTAACTAGAAAATGAAAGGAAGTTAACTCACACACTATTTCTTCAGTAAAATTATTTAACAAGCGTTTAAAAACGTGTGTTTATTCATACCCATGACTCATTCCAAAAAGAATAGGAAGTGGCTGCCTAAAAAAATACATGTCTGCAGCAAGGACTTTTGCGTCTTTCCCCCTCTTTTTCTTTCTGGTTTCACTGCTCTAAGCGAACGGGAGCCGGGCCATCCATTGTTAAGAAACTTTCAAGAGAGTCCACCTGCAGAACAGGGAGCTGGGGCAGCCAGGCTGGTAGGGGACCCCAAGCTCTGGGTGTGGGTCTGAATCTGTGCAGGGCAGTCGGCTCTGAGCAGGTTCAGGCTGTCCCCACTGACCTTTCCCTGCCCTCCGCTTCCGCCTTCCTTGGCATCATCCTTCCAAATCAGAATGACTTTCAATGCTATTTCCTGACTGAGTGTCATCTTTCTGCCCTAAGAATGTAAATATATCTGAGTTGTTATTCCATCCCAACAAATTGTTTTAGAAACATGGAAGAGACACCAGGAAGGGACGTCTTAGAAGCCTTCGTCACCATCCTGGCGGGGGGTGGGGTGGGGGGGCGTCGGAGTGGGGGAGGCGAGGGTGTCGGAGTGGGGGAGGCGAGGATGTTGGAGTGGGGGAGGCGAGAGTGCCTCCTCTCACTTCCCAGGAGTTTCAGCTTCCAAAAGAGAGACAGCTCCTGAACTCATGCACTTTAACCCTGGCTCTCTGGGGAATCCTCTATATACTGTCTTCAAACATGGTCATAGCAGGGTTCTTTATAGCAGCCAAGAAAAAAGGAGAGGAAAAAAAACTGACAAGGTCATTTCAAAAAGTGCGAATAAACTTGCACCCTGGGATATTATAACCACGCAGGAATATAAATCTAAAAATATATTTGACGAAAAGCACATCACTCATAGTATTAGTAGGTAGTAAGTAGGTTTTATATAGGAAGGATGTGTACTTTTTGGAAAGGTTAAAAACCTTTGGAAGATCAAATTTCCAAAGTAAAAGCTTCCTTTTGAAATGAGGCAAAGTAATAAATATGCTAGATGTTTAAGACAGCAGTGGGATACACACGTGTTTAATAAGTCAGGAGAAAAGGTGAGATGAGACAAGGGAGACTGAGAAAGGGAGTAGCGAGATGAAGGGGGAATTGGGAGAGTAGGCGGGAGTTAAAGAACAATGACATCCTGGGTGGTGAATTAACTACATTCACTCCCTAAACTATTTCTCATCTAAAGCTTTAGTGGGAAAATTCTGGCAGCCCTTTAGGTATCTGTCCTTGGCAGGAATGCAATTACAAAGGGGACTGAACTGCTTCTATACATTCTAAAAAGCTTGGGATCTGAATTTCATGGAAGATTACTGATCTTCTGTTAGACTTCCCACCGCACACCCTGTACATACAGATTAAGCTGACTCTGTCCACAGCTGTGAGGCTGATTAAGGGAAGCACAGTAAGCTAAAGCGTCTGCAAGGGCAAAGAGCTTGTCATTCCAAAGAGAGATTCTGTAGGGAGTGTTTAGAAACCAAGCAAATGGAAATGAAATAAAAACTCTGGGGGTAAAAAACCATTGCAACTCTAAGGAATCCTCATAACTTGGAATTATTTTGCTGGAAATTATAGACAAGCAGTCACAATTCGACTGAATGAAGACCCCCTTATTCACTAACAAAGACGGAGCAGGTGACCTCAGAAGTCTTTCCAGGTCACGCATTTCTGACAGCTTGACCTCTCCGAGATGTGTGGGCAGCTGTCTCCAGAGAGAAAGCGAGGGGCTGAGTGCTGTACGTCTGAAACGCTGTCCCCCGAACATCATTGGAGATGGGAAAAAGGACACTGAAATGGCGTGTTAGAGAACAAGGCTGATCGTTCAGGGAAACAGTCCATGTAACATGGCGAGAGAAGGTTTTTCCACTGGGAAATGCTGCTGGGAAAATGGACGCGAAGACCATGACCACGCTTCATACATATGCAATCACTGCCTTCTGCAGCCCCTCGCCTCTTAACGCTCTAAGCCCACTTCCCGGGCCACAGCCCAGTGCACCGCCGTAATGAACAGTACATTAAACATGAATATCATCCCCTTTATTTCACAGGTCCGTCCGAGTTAGTCCATCACATCGCGCCATTTTAAAAAAATCACATGGACTTTTCACTCTGCTGCTGAGAACGCCGACCCCCCCCCCCCCCCCCATTACCTCTGAGAGCGGCAGCGTGCTGTGACAGCAGGGTTTCCTTCAAACGAGGCAGGCAGGTCCTGAGGTGGCATAACTCACTGGCATTTTAAAATATGCTTTGGCCCCAGACTATTTTGATGGACAGGACTACTGAATTACCACAGTGAAGGGATTCGTCACCTTGCTCTCAGGAAAATTCATCTCTGTGACAATATACAGTGTTAACATTCCTTCGGGTAATGGACTGACCTTTTTATTGGTGAAGGTGCAATAATTTTAGTTGTTCCTTCATTTTCTCCATTCTCCGTGTTTGCAGTTACCTGGTTTATGCTGTTTGATCCTAGGGGCAAAGAAAGAGAAGACGTCAAGATGGGAGAGAGGAGGACAAAGTGATCAGGAAAACACAAAGAAGCAAAAGAGTTACTTTAAAATGCAATTTTAGGGCTGCCATGGCACATTGTGCTGATAAATTAAATTCCAAATAAATAATAAATCAACCAATAAATCTGAGGTGCTATTTTATGGATGAAAAAAAAAATCAACCCTCAATCCTCAACATAACCATGTCCTATGGGGTCTAGACCCTGACACCTCTCCAAAACGTGACCTTTTACCACTTAAAGAGTTAACACCCTGCATCCTGAGAAAGTCTTTGCTTTTGACTGTTAAAAATAAGATTCTAAGATCCTTAGTGCTATACCTTGAAATATATAAAGTGAAAATTGATGAATACATTGTAAAGAAGTTACATTTGTTGGCATGCCATGATAGCTCCCAATCTAAAACACACAACATATTTTTAAACTGAAAATATGAAAATATTCCAACTCATTAAATAAATGGCAAAAATATAGTATTGATGTGATCTGTATCACTCACTCACATACACTCACACACAAAAATGTTTTCAAATATGTTTGTTCAAATGTCCTAAAAGCCTAAAACTTAACTCTGTAAAAAGCTTCTACTCCACGAATTTGCATATATGCTAGGTGGGCCAGCAGAGGGAGCCCCCAGCAGATGTGATGGAAATCAGGATTCAAATGGAGCTAAGTGAAAGGGCTAAGCTCTTAGGAAGTCTGGACCCCATTCTCAGGACAGAGGCTGATAAGCCTGCAGTGACACGCACCTCACTGGGTGGTGCAGGGGAAACCAGTGAAGGAATGCCGAAGTCCTTGCTCAGGAAACTCTGTGTCATACAGGTGGGTCCACCTCAGAGAGGCATCTTGTAGGGGGACAGCCACAGTTGGATAAAAGTGTCAGCACCACTAGCCACAAGTGGTTCTCGAGTCATGAGATGAATCTGTAATGCTAATAAGGGCTAATATTTATTGAGCACGTACTACTTGCTATTCCAAGCACTTCATGTCTCTTTATTCATGTAATCCTCAAAATAATCAAGTAAGTAAATATTAATATTATCCCAAGGCCAAATAAGCTGTGGGCCTTTCCCAAGGTCCCACAGCTTATTTGGGGGTGAGGGTGGGGGAGTGGAGAAGGGCTCTTTGAAACCCAGCAGTGTGGCCCCCAAAACAGCTCCCCACCACACGGCCTTCCATGTATGCTCTGCGCCCCACCCTCAGGTAGTTAAAACGTCCTTCTAATTAAAGGGTCCACTAGGAGACAGATTCTCTAGAAAACAAGTGGAAAGAATGTCCAATGAAGAGAACATCCTATCACCAACGAAGAGGAGAGTTTTTTCCCTCCAGGGCAACTGAGACCGCATGCCCACCCCAGGTGGCAATTCCTTACCGAGCAGTTTGTAGGCACACGGGTGGACTACCCATCAGGAAAGGCAAACATAATGAATAACCCCAGCAAAAGAGGCAACCAACTGTGGTTTCAAATAAAGAGGTCCAAAAACTACTATCCTAAGGAATTTGACATGAACTCAACACCTGATGTTGGTCCCTATTTTGTAACCCTGAAACAGGAAGGTGAGACTGAAGATTAGTCATAATTTTCACATGCACAGCATAAACGAGTTAAGCTATTGTTAGTAATACATCCTAAGTCATGGTTCTTTATATTGAAAACAGTGGACTACTAACAACAAATGTTTATTCATATTCCCCTACTCTACAAGTCTGTGAAATGGACAATCTTGGGTTTTAAAAGCCTTATGAGGAAAATAGACTTACAGAGGGAATGCTATTTTTAAGCAATAACTTACTGGGAGCACTTATGAAGTACCCATTCATATAATAGTCAGATGCAAAATAAAAATTATTCTTTTCTATTCAGCAGTATAGGTTTCTTAAAAATCCTTAATTAGGTGATGCTTACGTTACTAAAGATGCACTTAAAAGTAATAACTATATTCTTAACACTGTATTTTAATCATCTTCCTAATTAAGTTAAATTAGTGAGATTCCCCCCATACCACCATTTAAATAGAGAGCTAAGCAATTCAGTAAGGCTAGGCTGTGTCTTGGTTACTGGAATATGAAAGGGTGGGAAATATAGGTTATGCATTATTTCAGTTCACTGACATCCATTGCCAACTTTTTCTCCCTTCATCATACCACCTCCAGAACCATCCCTTCCACATAAGCTCAGGTTCTTGGGCTACAGAGAAGATGTGATCTGACAAGCCCTAAACACTGAAGGGCTCATGTCTTCATGCATTATTGGCCACAGACTAGTTACATTTCAAAGAGGAAAAGGAGAAGTCATGTATTAACTAAAATGACTAGTAACAATGGAATTTAAACTATTCCAGGAGATATTTTGAGGCTGAGGCAATCTTTTCCCCTCCATTCCTTTTTCATTGTAAATTATAACTGACCACTGATGAGAATGTATCACACATATATGAATAGTTTAATAAGCTATTATAAAGTGAATGGCTGCTTAATCACTGCCCACCTCCAGAAATACAACAATGAGCAATTTTCCTACACTCCCTTTGGGGCAGCTACTTCTTTTAGATAAAGTCAAAGAGTCAGTTTCTATCTAAAATACCTAGAAGCAGAAAGCATTATGTTTTCATTTCATAAAATATGCATAACAGACACAATAAAATTATTACTTTTAAAAAATTTAATAAAAGTTAATAAGGCTTCAATCTTTTCATTGAGGTACAATTCACATATAACATTATGTTAACAACATACGGTTTCCATATTTGTATACATTGTGAAATGATCACGTCTGGTTAACATCCGTCACCACACATAATGACAATTTTTCTTTCTTGTGATGAGAACTTTTAAAATCTACTCTCTTAACAACTTTCAAATATGCAATAAAGTATTGGTAACTATGGTCACCATGCTGTACGTTACATCCCCATGACTTACTTTTTTTTTTTTAATTGATTTTTTTTACAGAGAGGAAGGGAGAGGGATAGAGAGTTAGAAACATCGATGAGAGAGAAACATCGATCAGCTGCCTTCTGCACACCTCCTACTGGGGATGTCCTTGCAACCAAGGTACATGCCCTTGACCGAAATCGAACCTGGGACCTTTCAGACCGCAGGCCCACCCTCTATCCACTGAGCCAAACCAGTTAGGGCAGACTTATGTATTTTATAAGGCCTCAAAGTCACAATAAAACGAAGGACACGCCACTGTGCCCTCTCTCCCATGACTGACAGCACAGTAGTAAGTTTTCAATGAAGGTTCATTATTGTAAAGGTTGTTTTTTTTTGTTTCTGCTATTTTTTCCACTAGAAGGAGAAATTTCAGGATAAGTATGTTATGTTTAAAAAGTGTCAAAAGATGAAGAAAAAAAAAACCCAAACCTAAAGGTGGTTTGCAGGACAAGAAGACACGCAGGACAAGGGGATATGTGCCCCACCCTGCAGGAGAGGCTACTTTCGGTGTGGCCTTGTGCTGCAGCGCACTGCTCTTGTGAATGATAGTCACAGATGGTCTATAACCAAGATCCGTTATTGACATATGATTATCAAAGCTCCTTAGAAAATTTGTATTTTATTTTAGATAAAATGAAATAGCAACTGTAGCAAGGCCGTTTAGATTTAGTCAGGAGCGTACGATTCATTTTATATATTGTTCACATTAAAAACACAAAGGACTTCATTTCAAGAGGCTGCTCCCATTGGGAAGATCGGAGACTGTTATAGTTAATTAAGGAGGCAAATCTAGCTCAGGAACTGTGATCATTTTTGTGTCTGGACTGTTATCACCACAGCTTCCTAGGGGCCCACATAATTCCCTACAGTTGTGAAGACACTGCAACGCTAGTGTCCAATGTTCCAGGGTCTCTTGTTTGTTCATTTTTTCACACCCTAAATGCAAACGCTTCCAACCCATGTGCATCGTACCACTACCAGGCTTTTGTGTGGTTTGGCCCAGCTCACATTTGACCTTGGCCTTCGGGTCAGGAAGAGGAGCTGTCAGAAGCAGATCAACTCTCCCAGGGTCTATTAGCTTGATCTGGGGGCAGTTCTCAAAAGTCATCTCTGTGATGTCAAGATTTGGTGATGAATATACTGGATTTTCAATTATAAAACCACTTTGCATTTATATAGTTATAAGTCTCACAAAATGTATAGCCCAGTTTGACACATGTCAACCTAAATTAAATCTTTGATGCTATCTAAATGCTGCCACTGATTTTAATTTACAAAGTGGACATGGAGGAAAAATATGTGACATTTAAATTAAATAAATTTATATTTGCAAATAAGAATGCCTTATTTTGTTACATGGGGAAAAGGACCAGTAGCCAATAAGAAAAGCAAGATTATAAATAATTTCATTTAAAGACCTCTATAATATGATACATTTATAAATTTTATCTTACTTAATCACATATCTTCTCTTCTTTAAACTTAAAAAGAAAACAAACAAACAAACAAAAACCAAACCCTCTATTATCTGATGCTTGAAACAAATAACAAACAGCCAGGACAATTACAGCGGTTCCCAATAAAACAGATGGTTATGTTTCAGTTAAGCCAATCTGATTTGATGTTATCTAACCCAGTACAACTTCTCAGAAAAAATTTGATATTCATGAATTAAGAATGAGCTAATAAATGGAAATATATTTTAGCTCTATTTCTCACACCGACAGTACAAAGTCACTTTGCCTTGGTTTCAACTGACTTTAGACTGAGTTTTATAGAAAAAAAAAAAAATGGCATATGGTATAGCAAATTAAAACTAATATTTTTCTAACACTACAAATTATGATCAAAAGGAAAATCTTCAAGAAAATCTTACATATATATATAATATATATATAATATATATATAATATATATATTTTTCCCTATCATCATGAACTTGGCAGAACACTTATTAATTTAGGTAAACCAAATTGAATTTCCAAATGCACAATTTGAAAAATAGAGGTGTTTCTGAATCCAA